CCTATATGTCTAGAGGAGCTTTCTTCATTGGTATTAAGTGCAAGATCTAATTTAGAGAGACRTAATGCATTAACATGCTCTCAACTTGCATCAGTGGGAAGGATTTTCCACTTTATGAGATGTGCCCTGCCAGAAGCTTCTTGAAGATGCATTTACCTAATGAAATTGATTTAGTGTCTGGCTTGCGTCGCCTGCTAATAAAACCTTTCAGATAAAATCGTGATAATAAGGCATTTTATGACTTTCATTTATGATAAAATATGGTGCTTTATTTGCTCTATGCCATCTTTATCTAAGTATGTGGGGATTAGAAGTAAAAATAAATCCTGTCCAATGGCCATATTAAAAAAATGACTCAGTAGAACATGCTATGAATTTATTTGAGTCTTGCTTTAGAATCCGTGAGTGAGCAGAGTCTACTAATAAAAGAATATTTCTGGGTTCAAAAAGTCTATCTGGAAAAAAAGAGTGGGAATTGTAGTGTCAAATAATTAACTTAATCGTATTAACTTTTCTCTAAATTATATCCCGCCTAAAACTGTTAAGCTGTAGGCAAGATTGCCACGTGCTGAATACTGTTGGCTTTGTCMCTGACAGTAGAATATGTCCCCATTTGCTTTGAGAGCTATTCTCAGAATGCGAAACAAATTCTTACCCTTCTGCTCAGAGACACTCCTGCTTATTATTGCTTCTTCGTTCATATTCTTAGTTTAATACAGAGAAGAAACACTTTGTAAATGGCACCAAGAGCATAGCTTTTGTGATTTGGAGCCCAGGGCTGTGCCTGTGGAAATTAAGGTCCTCAGTCTCACCGGGTTTATTTTGAAGCAGAATTTGGTGTTCTGGACATACATGTTTTTATTCTGCAGAGCTACCTTTGGTGCTTGGAAAATTTCACCTTTGTTAAAATTGAMTATAGATTTAAATTAATCAAGGTCACATTGATTTTCAAAAGTCTCATAAATATCACCTGCAACCTGAAGGGAATTGGCCCGTGAGTGTTCATTTTAAATTACATAGGATAATGTGTGARTAAGTGTAAAATATTGTGAAAAAATAATACATTTCCCCGTTGGAAACACCATGGTGGCCTAGACCGTTCTCGCACTGCGAGAGCCGCCGTGCGCCCGAGCAGAGCTGTGGCGCAGGAGTGGCAGCAGGGCGCCTCAAAACAGCAGCCAGGCCTTCAGCTCCGTCTCGCCGCATTAGGGCAGAGTGTGGATGTACCCGGGGGAGAAGCTCGGCTCTTCGGGGAGTTTCTTCAGGCGCTCCCCCTCTCTTGCCCATGTAGCACACTCTGTAGTGATCTTTGGCCTGACCTGCTTAAGTATATAATCCAAAGGGAAAAACATGTGCAGGTTACCACTCACATTTATCCTGCTTTATTAAGTTGTCAGCCTGCCATCGGGTCTTTTTCTCTCGTGTTCAGGGCGAATCTCTCATGCAAAATAACAACATCTTTAATGACAAAATGCATAGGATTAACAGCTGCTGAGGAATGCTTTTTTGCTGGCTCGTTTCTCCCGCTGCTTCTGGCGTTTAGCTGTAACCTAGATGTTTCGTTTATGAGGCAAAACTGAGATTCRTGAAAGTGAATTCTGCTATATAGTAACTGCCTGCTTCCTACAAGTCTGTTATTCCAGAGCTCTAGCTGAGGGAAACTGCTTTGTCAGATGCATTAAAGAAAGCAGAGAAAAGTTAATTGTATTGAATGGCTTTTATTTGARTAGAATTTAATGTCAATGGGGAGTGAGGTGTTTCAGTCAATGCTGCAAAGACYGAGCTGAGGAGGAGCACCTGGGCAGGCAGGCACCTTGAGCAATGAGTGCACCAAGCAAAACATTGATCTTGGTCTTGGCTTGGAGATCATTAAGGCAACTGAGAAATCATTGAAACTAGAAATGGGATCTAGTGGAAGTCAAAGAAAAAACGACTGTGGACATTTAATGAGCAGCATTACATCATGTTCTCATCTCTTTAGAAATAAAGAATGAGATACTGGAATTTCTCTTTGAACAACAATAAATGTAGGATGTGAAAATAGCATGGGGAAAAACAGTCCTTTGGGCCATTCGCTCAGTAAGTGATTTCTACAAGCCTTAATTAATTACCAGAGTTACTAGTGAAACAAGCTTATACAAAACTATGGCATCATAAAATATCTGTTTAATAGCTAGCCCCAAGCCCCATCTAAATTACCTTGAAATTCTAAGAGTTACTAAGAAATATAGAAAAATTGCCAGTCAAATTTGTTCTGCTGGATGGATTCTGTATAAAAACAGTTTTACAGCAGAAATGCTGGTAAGCATTCTTTAGTAGAAACAATGCCTGTACTGTTCCTGTAACATACTAATTAACCTTCAGGTAATTAGTATGTAGGACTCCCATGCTATTCATATACTTCTCATTTGAAACTTCTGATTTTTTGATTGAAAGCAAAAAGCAACAATTCCACAACAGGAAGCATTGTAGGAGAGAAGATGTGTCAGGTGTACTCCAGTATTGAAGCTACTTCAGCTGGCACTTTAGCCTGCYGGGAATCCTCCTTGCACGTGCTGATCCTCAGCCTTGGCAGGAGAGCAGGTGAGAGTGGGAAAACATGGAAGTGAGAGGCTGTTCACACCCCTTTACCTTCTGCATCCAACCTATTYGTGAAACTGGGCTCCCTAAATTCTATTGTCAATGGGAAGAAAGACAAATATTATCAACAGGAAACTCAGACTGGCCATGTTATGCTTGCCCTAGGAGATGTACTGTTTCTCTACAACTACCTAGGAAGCCTACAGAGATTAGTCCTTTGTTAGGGAACTGAGCTGGCTGTCTATGGTTGGATGGCATGCATGCCCTGCTTTGTAGGATCTRCAAAGATTTGAGGACTAGAAGTAACCTTAGAGCTGAACAGAGATCCAGGCAACCACATGGCTGGCACTGGACTTTTATGCTTTCTGCATGTGTAGGGAAGCATGGAGAAGATTTGAGTTTTAAGGAGTAATATCCACAGCAGCTCTTCAAAACACATCTGTCTCCTACCTTTCTCAGGTGCAAGCTTTGGATGTAGAAGTGTCTATAATTATTTTTTTCTAAATTTGTTTTTTGGTTTAGATTGTTCCTATTTCTTCCTTGAGTATACAACTGGGCCTCCAAAAAGACCCCCAGGAAAATCTGAATTTGGATGGCTGGCTGCAAGAGGTGGGAAGAACAGCCGTGGCTGCTTTGAAGCATTGTCAGAAAAACTGGGAGGACACTTTTCCTCACTAATGTGGCTATAAATTAAGATCATAGAAAACCTCTTTTTAGAGGAAATCCTTGTGCTTGTACTGTGTGGTTGCTATTGTACTTGGTATTTTTCCCCCGTCTTCTCTCATCTTGGTTGAAGAAAAGGAAGATGGAATGTGAGGTGGACATGGCTGGTGGTGAAAGGCAAATGGGAGCTCAGCACAGGAATGCCAGGTGGTTTCTGCTGTATTTTATCCTACACCCCCATTTCTCTGGATGAAGTTGATGGCAAAGTTCCTGCTGGGTTAAGGGCATCCAGGAGTTCACTAGAATTGCTCCTGTTTTAAAATAGGAAACAATAGGAAACAATAGGAACAATCTAAACCAAAAAACACAGTAGGGCATCTTCGACTCACCCCTGTACCTATGCCAGGCATTGAGGCTTTGCAGTGTTACAGAACCAGAAGAGAAACATTTTCATAAAGTATCTCTGAAGGAGTGATTTCTGGTTAGTGTTTTATTGCTAGGTTGCTCTTGTTCAGGTCCATTCCATCATTCCTCATTACCGTTACCATTTACCTTTTCTGCTTTATGTCCAATATTGGGGTCATTTTTTTTTCCTGCCAAAGCTATAATGCAATATAGCTGTGAAGTGTGGGAGAAGCAGTCTGATAAGGTTGAAAGTAATTGACTATTAGCTTCTCCAAAGACTTTGACTTTTAGAGGAGTGTTGCACAACTGCTGTGACAGTGGTTTATATACATTCTCACTCAATAGAAATAATAGCTTTTATAAGCATCAGATAGCCTTATTAGTATGAATTTGATTCTACTCCCATCTAACACAGCAATCTCTCAAGAGTTGTATTGTGCATATTTAGGCTCTACTTTTCTGACATGTATTGTGTTCTCTGGAGTTAGCTGCAGACTGTTGAAAATATATGTCTTCTGAGTCAGGTTTTTTGTTATGCCTRTCTTTGCCAATAATTAGGAAAACATTATCTCAAAGAAGTGTGGTTAAAAATAGTTTGATGCCCAGGAAAGAACGATGATAAAGACAGAATGAAGTTTTGYTCAGTATTCCTGAAGCTCTCCTGTGCCATAGATAGGTTGGGGATCCTAGAAAGTGGTCCCTTGTCTGAGATCTGCTGTATCAGCAAATGAGCCCACAGTGGTCACTGGTCAGGCATGTGCTAGACCTCAAATAAACTGGAGTATATGTGTATTTCCTATATTTTTTCATTTATTACTATACAGATGTTACTAGCAGTTAAATAATTCCTTGACTAAACTAGGAACTTAGGGGAAAAAAAAAATCTTTGGGTAATATTGTTATATATTTTCAATATATGTATTATATAGGAAGCTTAAGTTCCTGTAATGTGGGAAACTCTTTTTAAGTATTCCCAAAGTCACTGTAAGAAAGCAATTTGTTTCTAATTCCTGGTCAGATTACRTTTATCTTGCCTCTGATGCAGGTCCCCAAAAAGCGTGTTTGTTTTTGTCTCATGCAAGAGCCACAGATTTCCCGAGGAGCCCTGTTTGACGTGGCTCCCTAAGGGAAGAAACACTGTCAGTATGATTCCAGGAAGCAATAAGCACCTTCATGAAAATAACTCAAGTCCCCATCCTTAATCCCTGCCTATCCTTTTTTATCTGATGTACTCAGCGCGGGCTGGAAGATCACTGCGYGGCTGAAAACGAAAGGCAGTTAACAAGATGTGACCAGTCAATGGATAAAACAAAAGGCAAAACCGTTTGCTTTGTCTAGTATCTAGGTGTCCTTCTCATGCCCGGGTGACAAGGATGTGGATCCCGGTGGGTTTGCTCTGCTGCTTAGTCTTTGGAGGGCTGCCTCGGGCTGGCGCTTCTTGTCCGTCTCAGTGTAGCTGCACCTTCCATAGCCTCAGCGAAGGGACAAAAAGCAGGTAGGCTGATATTCTCTGGGGATGGTGGGSGGTTTGTTTATTGCTGGGTTTTTATTTGTTCTGCTCTGGGAGGATGCTTGGAGGAGACAATATTGTGGCCGGACTTCATGTCTGTTATTTTTCCAGTCGCTTTGCGCTCTAGCTTTATTTGCCGAGGATTAGCTTCTGAAAACACAGTAAGCTGATTTCAGGGAAAGCATTTGGGCATCTCCTCTGCAAGAACAGAACCACCATAATTGCTAGTGATGCAAAGACAAAAAGGAATGCAATTCAAACAAAATTTCCTTTTTTTTTTTTTTTTTTTAAATGTCCATTCTGAAAATGCTGGTTAAAATTTTATTCTGCTCTGCTGGTTTGTTTCTAAATGTAGCCATGTTTGACTTATATTGTGGTATGAAAAACTGCAATCCATTCTGTTTGCATAAAAAAATCTTCAGTGGAAGTTTTTACAATACTAGAAATAGACCCTAGATGTGATTGAAACAAAAATACAGGTARTGATAAGAAGGTAAGGTAATTCACAGAGTGGAAACTTGGAAGCAAGACCAGAGGGCATTGGTTTCAGAGTGCAGCGCCATTAGACAGAGAAGGCTGCGTAGGACTTCAATGAAAAAATCTTTTTGAAGTGTAATTGGAAAGTAATGATGTGATTTAATGAAATTTAGGCTTTTTTTTTTTTTTTTTATCATGTACAATTCATAGTAGAACAGTTTTTTTCACAGAGAGTATTTGCAAACTCCTTTGGAAGAAATACTTTTTCCAGAGAAGACTACAGGATAGGAATGAAAGGCTGTCCGCTCCGCTTTGGATCCTCATGAAATGATCTCTGTCTTGTTTTTTTCCTGCAATACTATGGATTTAATAACACATGCAGAAGCATGGTAGAGACACAGGCAGTCTGTAACTGTCAAAAAGGGAGGGCAATTGTGAGACAACCTATTATTCCTCCATAAATGTCGTAGTTCCTGGTGAAATTTCCTTTCAGTGACTGGAAAAAAAGCTGCAGTGCATTTTATAAAATACATAAAAATGCTCATGCCCATAGGTCCCCTAAGGAACATAATGTCACTATTTTTTCTGCATTATGATTCATATTTCTCACTAGAAGAAGGAGATTATCTCATAGATTAATTGTTCAGTGCTCACTGACGCAGTATAGGGACATGATGAGAAGCATTAGAGCATCCTGCCTTGCTGCAATAGTGTCTCTATTGAAATTTGGTGTTATGGCTATACACACACACACACACACACAAAGTTATATTGAAAGAAGATCTCTGGGGTTTTCATATTTTATACCTTTTGTTCTTTCTCAATATTTCAGCTTTCAGTTGAGGGTGGGCAGGACTTAAAGCCACCATAGAGGTGCTGGATGAAAGTCATGTACTGTGTTTTTATTATAAATTACCAATTTTAACTGAAGGCTCAAAAAGGATTTAAATCCTGCAAACTTGCATGAGCAGCTGAGTGGTCATGTTTATTTTTGCTGATAGAGGAACGATTGCTTTCAGCCAAAACCAATCTGGTTTTGGCAGCTTTGCAGTATTGTGTTTATCAGCAAAGCAGTATGATAAGAAAATGGTGCTTGACTGATTGCACTACATCTTTTGTGGTACCTTGTTTAGCATGTGGAGCGGAACATGCTTATCTGACCTGGTACCTTCTGCAAGGTAGTATTTTGTAACTTTGTATTTTGTTAAGAATTTGCCTTTCTGTCTTTGCTGATAGGCAAATTAAAATACAGTGTGAGAGGCCTGTTTTGTCTCCCTTCACTCCCCATGGTTATCTGCAATTCCACCTCTTGACAAAGTCAAAGTCATATTTTTGTGTATGAAGGCTGCAAAAAAATACATCATGAGATTTTTCAGAATTTGAAATGAGAAGGAACAATTTAGTCCCACAAATATACCCTGCTTTCACATAGCATTTTTCAGTTAGTTCTCTGTGCTTTCGCTCTCTTAATTATATGTGACTGCAGTGAAATGAACTGCCCTATCTCTGAAAAATGTAGACTAATTCATAGTGAAGCAGCAGTTGATGTAGTGTATTTACAGTGGGTTGTTAGTTATTTTCTTATCCTTGTTTCATGAACCAGAGATCTTGTGCTGTATTTAATCTGCGTTGCTTCCTCCCATCCCACGCTTCCGTGAGGCTTCTTTTAATATGCCACTTGTGGCAGAGTTTGTGGAGCGTTTTATTTTAACATGAACTAACATCCTGTGTTCTGTATGAATGTTATCACTGTCTGTCATAAGTGCCCTAAAAATTTTTGAAAGCAAAAGGAAGGCTGTAGAGGCTGGGCTCAGCCTCATGCCACTCCAACAGAGGCAGAGCCCTGCAACCATTTCCCAAAGGTCCGTGTATGTGCAAATTATGGCAAGTTAATGAAATTACATTAGTGATATATAGATTTTATTTGGGTGGTAAGATATAAAGAAAATAAGGYTCATGCAAAAAAAGAAAAGCAGATCTAAACGTTGTATTTAAATAAAAATGTTTCAAAATATAAGTAACTCATACAAGGTCTGTATTTGCATTTCCCCACCAGGACTGTGCTGTGTAATGATCCCGARATGACTCTCACGCCTGTGAATATTCCTGTAGACACCTCCAAGCTTCGCATAGAAAAGACAGCCATCAGGAGGGTGCCAGGGGAGGCCTTGCATTCACTCCACAACCTGGAGTACCTCTGGATGCCCTATAACTCCTTGGCCAGCCTCAGCGTGATCACCTTCAAGGGCCTCCGTCGCATACAGGAGCTGAGGCTGGATGGAAATGACTTAATATCTTTCCCGTGGGAAGCCCTCGCTGACATGCCCCAGCTGAGGCTTCTGGATCTGCACAACAACGAACTCACCTCAGTCCCCYCAGATGCTGCTCGTTATATCAAGAATATCACCTACCTGGACCTGTCCAGCAATAAACTGATGACTCTTCCTCAAACCCTTATTTCCACCTGGGCCAACCTGCAGGCAGTTCCTTACTTTCCTAATGATAACTCCAAGATCATCCTAGGTAAGAGAAATGATTGATTTTGCCTGGGCCAGAAAGGATGAGATCCAAATCTTATTGTAGCATTTTTATTGACAGTGGCTACTGTACCACATTCTGGACTAATTTAATATCCCATGCAAAATCTGCATTAGCAATTTCTCAGAATGATRCATATTTTTAGTGGGAATCCATTTATGTTTTAACACTCTCACCTTAGGCACCCTGCACAGTTCATTACACCAAAAATTTGGTCACTTGCTTAAATCTTTGTGACATAAAACTAGTGATGCTTCCTCAAACCCTTACTTATTTACTGACACTGACATTTTTAAGAGAAACACAAATCATTGATGTGTTGTTTTCTAACAATAAGTACTGTAGAGCTGGTCACTTTTTTAGCATTGTTAAATAAAAAGACAGACACTTATTACATCCAAATTCAGGTATAAAGATGTAGGAATCCTCTTTGTGTTGGCAGTTCTGGGCTCTTCAGAGTATGACTGTGGAGAAGTATCATTTTTTTTGTGTGTCAGAGTATGGCACAGATGGCTGTCTTGAATCCTCTGAGTTGCAGTATCCCCAAATGAAGTTTTGAGCATGTTTAGTAGTTTGGGGGATTACAACTGAGCCTTTTAGCCACAGTGTACTGSATCAAATTCATGTCAGATTGCTGATGGTCCAGGGTAGTTGCCATCTGCTGTCCTTGTTTGATATAGACTGACCKAGCTTTGTCAGTGCTGTTTTACCCGGGGGGTGCGTGTCTGTGTTTGCATCGTCAGCCGCCACAGGCTGGATGGGAATTCAGGCACTTGCTGATTATCTCAGCACAAGGCTGCCTTACTCTGGGAAGGCCATTCATAGCTCAGAGAAATGCTGCTGCTGCTGCTGGTTTTCTGCATAAACTTAGGGGAGGCAAAGGTTTTAAAATCACAGTGTGGTAGAGAGAGAGATCCAGTACTTTGAAAAGAAACTGCTGCCTCCAAAGCTTCTCATGTCCTAAGCAGATGTTTTTAAGGCTTGCTTAGCATTAGAAGAGGAGCAGGTGCCAAGTGTAGCATCAGACTCTATAAGCCAAAGCTTAAAGATTGCCCATTTTATTTGTGGCATGACAAGACAGTACCATAGGTCATACATGCCAGGTTACATGTAAAACTTACTGCATTCAGTATGGATTATGAGGGTATTTTGTCAGGATCATGTGTTGGTGCTCTGACCAACCTGAGTGTTTGCATAGCCAGCTGCACATCAGTAGCTTGCACCAGGATCTTAAAAAAGAAGAAAAAAAAGGTCATAAAGACAAATAAGTGTAATGTTGAGATTCCTGTTGTAAGGTAGAATCATAGAATGAATCATAGAATGCCCAAGGTTGGAAGGGACCTCAGAGGTCATCGAGTCCAACCCCCCTGCTCACRCAGGGTCACCTAGAGCACGTGGCACAGGGCTGCATCCAAGCGGGTTTTAAAGATCTCCAAAGAAGGAGACTCCACAACCTCTCTGGGCAGCCTGTTCCAGGGCTTTGTCACCCTCACAGTGAAGAAATGCTTCCTTAAGTTCCTGTGGTAGATAGAGTCCTGGTGCTAAGTCCTGTCCTGCTGCCATGCCAGGTGCCCAGGGGCATGAAATGCATATCCCTTGGAGGAGCAGAACTGGARAGCAGCTGCGTGTTTCTGTTTCTTTTGGCTCATAACTGTTTCTCATGGTCATTTAAATGGATTATTAACAGTAAAGAGTCAGCCCAGTCCCTTTCTTTCTCTAAGGTGCATCAGGATGATGCAGCCCCCCAGTCACCAGCTGGCAGGAATGGGTGCCGGGGGAGAGCCCAGCACAGCCGGCCCCTCTGCACCCCAGCACTTCCAGCCCTGCCTGGCTGAAAGCTCCTTTATTCTCCCACAAAGAGGCAGCCAGGAAGGACAGAGCTTACCAGAATGGGGAATGACAGGACAAGGGGTGCAGGAAAAGCAGAAACTAGCCTATTTTTCAGACAGTGGTAGCAAAAGAGGATGTGTCAGCGCACTGGTGGGAAGTCAAAGGGTTTCCTCCCACCTGTCTGAGATTCTCATTCTAACTGCAGAGAAAAAAGCAAATCTCAGAGGGAATATTGTAAAGTGTCACAAGGAATAGCTCTACTGGTTATTTAATCCATGATGATTTCAGCACAGTAACTAAAGCATCAGCAAAGAAGAAGTGATTATTTCACCAGCGTATCTGGAATAAATTACAGTGTTACCTAGCTTGTGAAGTCAGAAATATGCAGTGAACAAAAATGCCATAAAACAACAAAGCCACGTTCTGAAGTTTCGATCTTTATATGGTCTCCTTACATTAACCTACTCATTTATAAGAAGGGCACTGCTACTAAGCCTGCCACTTTTTCAACCCTCTTGCAAGACCAGGATGGGTAGATGGAAGGATATAAACTTTATTTTAGCAGTCTCTAGACAAGTTTACTAGAGACATCAGTGGCTTTTGATCTCCTCTACACCTCTAGCAGAATCAAGCAGCCCCTGATATCAGAGAGTCTTGTGGTGTTGCCCTGTAGTTGTGTCAAAACTCATGTGTCTTGTGTAAAAACCTACTGCTTGCGTAGCTGCTGCGGCAGCACTTCAGGTAGGAACCGGAGTGGAAATATGGGAGTGGGCGGGCAGCCTTTCCCTTCCTCATGGTGGTTAGGGGAATACGTGTTCAGACTGCTTCCCTTCAGGCAGGCTGGTCCCAGGGTGTTCCTGCCTGCGAGGAGGATGGAGCGGAGCGTCCCGTGAAGGAGCACGGCTCGTGCCAAGCAGGCCGGGCGCTGAGGGCAGCGGTGCTGTGTGCTTGGCCTTTGAGCATGTGGCTGGGGCTGGGTGATGCAAACCTCCCTCGCACCAATGCTGCCAAATYGTTGGAAACCTTTAACTGGCTGTATCACATGGGAATGCGAGGGCTTTTAAGTACAATAGCATATACGTTTTACCAGACTGCAGCAACCTCTGTTCATGGATGTGCAATGAACTAATTCTGGGTTTGCTTTTTCTCTACCGTCTTCACAGAGCTGTTTTTAGTAATATCCCTCTCTTTTTTGTGCAATGTGAGTTCTGTTGGCACTGAGACAGTAGGGAAAATGGGAAACATTGCGAAACTCTCAAAAGAAGTGTATTCTTCAATATACTCCATTTTAATCCTAAAATAGTGTTTTTTAAAAAAAAATTATTCCCTAAAACGTTTATCTTATACAATGTAAACTAACATTGCAGGAAAAACACCTGAATCCTAAAATAATGAAAGAAACAGAGTAACAGGACTGTAAGAGACTTAAAGTAGGATCACCTATAGCTATCACAGGCCTGACAATTGCCTGACTATCTGGCTAGTATTTCAAAAATCACCAATGACAGGAATTTCCTCACCTGTCTAAGGAAGAGATTCCACTTCTTTGTTATGCTGGATGGTATAGCAAAAAAAAAAAAGAAAAAGAAACAATCCAATCCCCTCCACAGCTAGCTGAATTTGCTGTCCTGCACTGTTGGAGTGACTTAATGMTCTGTTTTCGTTTGACAGGTTTGCAAGACAATCCTTGGGTGTGTGACTGCAGTCTATATGAGATGGTGCATTTCTTGAATTTCCAGTCGCCTAACATCGCGTTCATAGAGCCCCGGCTGAAGTGCTCCACGCCCCGCAGTCTGGCGGGAGTCGCCTTCAGCCAGGTGGAGCTGCGCAAGTGTCAGAGCCCCGTTGTGCACACATCGGTGGCCAAGGTGAAGACCATCCTGGGCAGCACCGTCTTGCTGCGGTGCGGGACGACAGGCGTGCCCGTTCCCGAGCTCAGCTGGAGAAGGGCTGACGGTGCTCAGCTGAACGGCACAGGTAGGTTTGGCCTCGTGTCTGTTTTCATGGCAACTCGGTGGGGCTTGTACCTGTGTTTCCTATTCACTGTACAGCACGTGGGAGCTTCCAGAAAGAAAAAAGGACAATAGATCCTTCTCGCTAAAAAGAGACCAAAAACATGGTGCAAAAAGAAGATTGTAATTCACTCTAGTATTGTGATTTTTTCCCCAGACTCTAAAATTACTCATATATTGACCTGAATGTCATCAGATTAATATAGTTGAACTGTCGCACGGAAGAGTTGTTTTAGTTTTGTCTCACAGCAATTACATGGTGGTGAGATAATTTAGATGGTTTTCAGCAAATCTGTTTGAACTGGAAAAAGGCAATATGTCCAGCTGAGTATGAAGCAACCCAAAGTTAGTCATTCCATGAGGAGACTCCCTCTTAACCATTTAATGGATTTGTGAGAGCTTCTATTAATCAGTTAGTGCTTATCTCTGTCAGAGAGTTCAACTGAGATTCAGATAAACAGTAGCAGAAAAGGAAGTGTTGCAGAAATGCACCACTAAGGCACAGGCATATTAAAAGAGAAGAAGGATAGCCACTGAACTGCTATGAGACCATGGAATGAATCATTTTTGGTGGATTCACAAGAGCTCTTTTGTGAAATATTCTGGAGGAAAAAAGTGCTGACCAGCTCCCCGTTTTGTGCTTTCCGCTTTTGTGGTGGAAGCCTTCAAATACTACTGTCTTTGTGACCAACTGTGTCTTCATTTCCACTCACAAGATTGATAAAGAACAAAATTGCAAGGTGAGTTAGTCCTTCAGTACATGAGTTGCTTAGGGAAGAAATCTTTGCTGTATTCAAGTCAGTCACCACTGACTTTTGCCCTTAGGGATCTTAGCTCAGGATATGATGTCTCACCTCACAGATGTTACAGTCTCATGAGTCCARCCATAACTTTCACAGCAAGTGTAAACCCAGCTGATTGATCACCTAGTGTTGGGTCCTAAAAGGGCTACTGGGTTCCTTGGTGCCGCAAAAACCGAGAGGGAGAGAGGGTTTTTCTTTCATAGCAGTGGACCCATTTGTAATAAACATTTTAGGGGCTCCATTGTGTGTGGAGCAACTCCTTCTAATGATAAAGTCCCATTTTCTTCAAAGGTGTATTCTAGACTTGAAAGTGAGACACAGAAAGTAAATCATAGAAAGCTTTCCTCAAAGCATTTGYTGAGTTTACTTTGGGCTACAATCAAGATTGATGTATTTTGTGCCTCGTGGAATCTGAGTTTAGTATTTTTCAATAATAAGTTGCTTGCAAATATACATAGTTTCTCAGCAACAGCAGCTTCTGTACAAGTGCTGTAATGCAGCTCTTTAAAATGGTGATTCTGAATAGAAAGAGGTGAGAAATAGTGCACAGTCTGCATGTGAAGGGGAAGTACCACAGGAAGACTGAGAGCCTTTTTTTTTTTTTTTTTTTTTTTTTTTAAATTCCTGTTCAGATAATAATTGTACTCAAAAGATAACATCTTCTGCTCTTGTATTTCGCTTCCATTAAAATGAGTCCTGATTCATATCTTGAACTTGACCTCACTCACCCAGGTTCTGGGGACGTTTGCATCCTATTTTATCTTTGCCTTTCAGGCTTCTCCCTGGTTTACCTTTCAATAGTGAAGGGCAGAGGTGGTAAGTGCTCATCCAAAGGAGGCTGGTTAAATAAAGAAAATATTCCCTTCTCCATAATCCCATCTCTTCACAACTTGTCCCCTGTGTGCGTGCACACACACACACACACACACACACAAATAGAAAATAGAAAAAGGTAAAAATAAAGCTTGATGTAGCCTCCTGGCAAACTAGGAGAGAAAATCAACATTCAACTACATACCTATAGCTCAATAGAGCTGTCTAACTTTTTAAGAGATCACACTTCCATGTGGTTGGCTTGATATAAACACCAACCATAATTTCAGAGTAAAAAGGAAACTGTTTTTCAACCACTTTTCTCCTTATAATCCACATACAATTTTTAGGGGCTTTTCCACATATGATTCACATTCTCCACTTTATTTTTTTTCCTATGATAAAGTGCATTTATTGTTCTGCTAGGCTGTGTTACATCCCATTCTCCACTGTTTTATGTATTGTAGGTACATAAGAGCTTTTCAACTTCTTTTTTTTTTTTCTTGAAAATGGAAGAACCTCTTCTGTTTATTTTCAATTTGTATGTCTGTTTGGAGCAGAAAAAAAAAAAGTATGAGATACCTCACAACCATTGGCTTTGAAGCAGTGTAAATTGCAGCATATCTTGATTTCAGGGTTTATGTTCTTTCCTTTGGTTTACTTTGATTTTGTAGCCTACTTGCTGACAAAAAGAAATAACAATTGTGCTGTATCGAGCTGATATTTGGCTGATTGAAACTTGATTTAAAAAAAAATACTAATTTTGTTGTTGATTGACTTTTTATTTTGCCCTTTTCCTTACTCTCAGTTCACCAAGAAATTTCTAGTGATGGGATGAGCTGGTCTATTCTGGGCTTGCCTGTGGTCTCCTATCTTGATTCTGGCGAGTACATCTGTAAAGCAAAGAATTTCCTGGGGGCAACAGAGGCGTTCATATCCCTCATCATCACGGATGCGGAGAGCACGGATGACCCCAGCTCTAATGCCAATGGTGTCTGGAGTGCAAAGGCGAGTGGGATGGAGGCAGCTGCCTACAACGACAAGCTAGTGGCCAGGTACGTTATCACCACCTCCACTATACCTACCTTGGGAGCCAGAGCAGGCTCTGAAGAGAACCTCATCCTCCAAAACGGGGCGCAGAACAGCAACTCACAAAACCTCCTGGTGAGTCCACCTACCGGACAGCCCGAGCCGGAGCGAATCGTGAGGTCAGTGAGAGTGTTAGGGGACACCGACCAAAGCGTCACCCTGGCCTGGAAGGCGCCTCTGGCAAAGAACACGACAGTGTTCAGTGTCCTCTATGCCATTTTTGGAGAGAGAGACATGCGGCGGATCAGCGTGGAGCCAGGGAAGACCAAGGTCACCATTTACGGGCTGCTGCCGAAGACCAAATACATCATGTGCGTCTGCGTGAAGGGGCTGATCCCCAGGAAGGAGCAATGCATCATATTTTCCACAGACGAAGTTGCCAGCGCGGGGGGAACGCAGAAGCTCATCAATGTGGTGGTGATCAGCGTGGCCTGCGTCATTGCCCTTCCCCTCACGCTGGTGGTCTGCTGCGGAGCACTGAAAAGGCGCTTCAAAAAGTGCCTCGTGCGGAAACCCAAGGAAATTCAGGACTCCTATGTCACCTTTGAAAGCCTGTCACCCGGGGCCAAGGCAAAAGGGGTCGAAGGAGAATACTTGACTAGACATACCCCAGATGAGTCTAACAGGCTGCTCTCTGCCCGCTCAAGTGTGGACTCAGAAGCAATACCGAAGATAGAGGGGCAACCTAATGAATATTTTTGTTGATTGCAACAAGGTTAGTTGTCAACTTGTTAGCTGTGAAACACACATGGCTCTATATGTGACTCTGTTCTACAGACCTAACATTGCAGGCGTTGTGTCAGTGCTAGTGTCTCCTGACACACTCTGGAGGAGGGTGCAAAGCACTGATGGCACCCAAGCTTACAGGAACATATTGGGATTTGCTGTTTTGTACCTGATCAAAACCTTGTGTGATACCATCCGTGTTCTCCTGGGTGACTCTTTATTTTGCAAAATGAGATGTGCACACTGAGTGTGAGAACAATAAGCAACATTTTTGAGTGCATGATGTCCACTGTTGTTTARTATCTGCTCTGCAGTATGCTCAGACTTTTTGAAGTTCTTCAGGTTGACGGCCTGGAGAGAATTTAATGATTTGAATATAAGTGTATGTATAAACGTGAAGATTGATGGTCTTATCTGGTACACCCACCCTCTGAGTTCAGACAAATGTGCAGAGATACAAATCAAAAGACAAAAATACCTATCCCCTCCTAAGACTACATAATAGGGAGTGTTTTGTGAGAACATTTTGATCCTAACCATGCTTTCCTTTTGTTGTGGCTTGAACAACAGTATCCCACAGGTCTTCCACTTTCAGGCGTAGCTGTCACTTGCTGCAGTGCTGTAATTAGTAGAGGATGTTTTGTTTCGGCTGTGCTAGCTAAAACCACACRGTAGGCTGTTCTGAAAATCGTGTGTGGGTGTTGTAATGGCTTGTAACTATGTTGGATGAAGCTGCATTAGGCTGCTCATAAGCAAATTCCCAGAGCAGCCCCATGGTGGCTGCCAGCTCTCCTGGTGAAACTAGCAGTGAAGACAGAAGAGYCCTCTGGCTCCCTGGCTGCTTGTGCTTTGGGCACCAAAAGCCTCTGCTCYGTGCAGAGCTCGTGCCAGTGACGCAGCGCTAAGGCCTTTACCTGCTTACACTTCAGCCTACGTCAGCCATTGGTGGYGTGGTCTCGGTGCTCACGGATGGGTTTCCAGCATTCTGTGTGTTCAAGGGCCCTAAAAATATGTCCTAGAATCAACTAAAAGTACTTTCACAACCAGCACAAACTGATCAGTGCGAAGTCCTGCAAATCTACTGGAATTTGGATGTGAGTGCTTTATCATGAAGATTTCCCAGTTGTTAATGTTCCACTCCAACCCCTGTGTACAGATGTTGAATTTAATCGTTTTCTATTTGTAATAAATAYGTTCATGAAGAAAATATACACATTCTGCCAAATGTTGAACAGGAGGAATCCAGCCAGGCTGTAATGTTAACTGGTGAAGTCCTTTTGAACTGTTTTGAAATGTGTATTTGTAAATATATCTACATGCCTATTCTGGATGTGTATCTACAATGTGAGTTAAGAAAATCCACCGTCTGAGATGGATCCCAGTACAGATTTTCCAAGTCCTCTTTGTCCAGAAAGATTTCAGTTATGTCAGGTTCCTTGGTCTGATGGGAAAAAAAATGAATCGTTCCATCTCAGCCTAGCTACCAGCTCCCTGGGATACATAATAATAGTTTCTGTATGCATTCCCTATGTTCCTTACTTTAATGATAAGGGAATTCTCCTGTGCTGGAATAATTTGTCAATTCCTGTATATAATACTTAAATCCCACTTCCCTCAGTGGACTGTATAGATTGCTAGGTACAAATAACATTTTGCAGTATGCTGTAATTTAGCCCAGTAGATTACCCAATGAAGTATATAGCAAATGATAACTCTATTGTTTATTTATACAACTGCATTTCCTGAGGTGATATTTAGAGTTTGTCTTGGAGGTAGAACGGCACAGTCCCCCAGGAGAGGCCGGGCCGACGGCAACGCTGCCCTGCGCGTGCGAGGAGGGGAGAGGAACGCGCCTCCCTGCGATGCTCATGAACGTGTGAGGTTTTACAAACTTTATTGAACACCTTTTGCACTTTGAATAAATAGTGTTCCCAAATAAAACAAATGCAATTATTTCTTTTTTAAATTTTCCCATGGTGATACTCACGCACAGAAGAAGCAAAAGACTTTAGCATCTGAACATCTGCTACTTAAGAGCAACCTCTCTGCYGGAAATGTGAAATGTGAGGCTCTGGGCCAGATTTATAGTGGAATGAGCAATGTAAAAAGAGAGATAAAAAAGAAAAAAAATGTAAAAGAGAAAAGTATTTATCTTCCTTATCTCTCCTTTCTTTTCTTCTCTCATTTTTCCTTCTTTCTTTTTGCTTTTTTCTTTTGTCCTTTCTCTTTTTCCTTTTCATTTTCTCCTTTTTTGTTTCCTTTTTTTTCTTTCCTTTTTTCTTTTTCTTCTTTCTTTACTTTTTCCTCTTTTCTCCTTTTTCAATCCCTTTTCTTTTTCAGTCCCCTTTCTTTTTCGGTCCCCTTTCTTTTTCGCCTTTTTATTCTTTTTGGGAGTATTTTTTTCTTTTTCTTGGGGGTATTTTTTCTTTTTCTTTTCATTTTTCTTCTTTCTTTGTTTCTCCTTTCCCCTATATTTGACTTCTTTCTTAATCTACTTTCCCCTCTCTTTCTCCCTTCTTTCCCCTCCCCCCCCCTCTTTTTCTCCCCTGAATTCTCTGAACTGCTAGAGTTCAGACAGGAAAACATATTTTCTTACTCATTTAAAGTCAGTTCGCCACACCAATGTGCTCTAAGAACCAAAACCTCTCCTAAGTACATTATGTACATTTTGAACATCTTTTGTAATTACTACATTTATAGCCCTGTTTTTGTTTTTTTTCTCTCTTTTGATACTTGGTTACCTTGTTTTTTCTTTCTGCTTGTATAATATTTAATCTGTTAATAAGCCCTTTATGTAAGATTTTGATCAATTTGTTGTCTTTTCAGGTTTATTTCAAATGTGTTGCAGTACTTAAAATGTATATATATATTTGAAGGTGTTCCTTCTTCCACCATTCCTTACTTTCTCACTTGAGAAATCTTGAAAAATGGTTTTTGAAGTGAGGTTTGAACCCATCTAATGGTGTGCTGGGATATAGGTGCTGTCAGCACCTGCAAAGAAGAAGGAATGGGGAAAACGCCTCCCTTCACAGGGGCTTTTAATATGGGGAAAGCTGGATTAGTATAAAATGGAAAAATCAAGGCCAAGCTGTTAAAGGAGGTAGTAGTTTTTTAAAAATGCATCCAAATAGCCTTATGAACTGTGCTGATTTTGTCTTGAAGTTATATGTATAAAACAAATACCATAGATGCAAACTATTGTCCAGGTTGTTAAACACTTTATAACCAAAATATGATTTAAATGTGTTGGATGGGCTGTAATGTTGTTAAATGAGGTCACTTTAATATTTATTTCTTTCTACAGAGAAACTCGTCTAAAAGGTCTTTGAATTACTGGAAAATGCAGGACACCACGTGCTCACGTACATATATATAGAAACCTGTGGAAAAAATCAGAGAGAAACTGAAAAATGATGAGAAATGAGATTAAAACATTCTTCAATGTATTTTCAAAAGTGAATGGACATTAAAGAATGTTTTTAGAAGTATTCAAATAGTAAAACAAAACCTAGAGGTTAAAAAGCCCCTGAAAACTTGACATCCAAGTGCCTCAATCTCAACAGTGCTCTGGGAATAGCTAGGAAGCTTCAGGATGTCATTAAACATCATTCAGTGCTAAAAAAAATTTCCTCAGTGGGAGCTGCACTGACTTCCAAGTCCTTGAGAAAAAAATGCAGATTGTTGCCCGGAAGAGAGCAAAAGAATTGCCCCCAAATTATTTTCCTTTGAGTTAAAATTCTTTTAAAAATCGAATTTAGGTATTTTTTTATAGGCCTTGCAGGACTTGCTGTGACCTGGGCGGGAGGCCGGGAGCACCAGAGCCGGTGCCGCGCGCAGCTGCAGCGCTGCGGATGGAGCCAGGGCTCCCGTTGCTCGCTGTCACGCGGCGGCGCCCGCTCGGCAGCGGCGCCGAGCTGGGCGCTGGGCCGAGCGCCAGCCACGCAGGCGCCAACAGTGCCCGCAAGGCAGGACCGGGCCCACGGCGAGCTGAGCTGAGCGCTGCTGAGGACGTTCGTGCGTGCGGCTTTGCAGTCCAAGGTCGGGCTGCCTTCCCCTCAGGCTTTTCCAGGTGTCGGCTTTGTGAGCAACTTTTAAGCACGTTGTCATGCTTTAAGTCTTGATAGTGACAGCGTTCTGCATCACCCACTGTCATTCCAAACAGTGTTTCCTGGATAAGTCATGGCCCCTGCAGCTATTTTTCCTTTTCACTTCAGCCTGTTCTTCATCAGTGCTGCTTTTCCAGTCCTGCACTGGTTGGCGTTACATGCATCATGTCTCAACTATCAGGCCCTGCTCCAGCCTTCACCTCATTTAGCCTCCAGAGCAGGGATTTCAGATGGTGATAGCCCTGGTATGTGGGCTGTAAATCTCAATTACTAGCCTGAATCTGATTTCCTGCAGCCCTGCGTGCTTGTCGCTTGCGTCGCTCGCCATTGCCGCTCCCTCTTGGTGTTTGCTTTGGCAGTAAGCGAGGCCTTTTAAATTCCCCTTCCAGTACAGTAGTGGACAATATCTCTATGGAAATTTATTTTGACAGCTTGGGTTTTAGACAGCTTGTTCTGCATTTTGGCTTCCACCAGCATGCCACATGATGTTAAAAAGCAGCTGAACTGAGTGGACATCTGYTATCACAAAAGTGACCATTAAATTTACAAGCCGACATAAACTGGACTGAATTAAAGAGACAACTCACCCCAGTCCTATAGGTGTGGAGCGTAACCAGCAAGCTGGCGCTCTTTGGAGGGCTAAGTTTCTTTTCAGGCTCTCTACCCACAAATTCATCTGATTTAGATATGCAATTCACCATTAATTTCTCAAATTAACACTGAATATAATAATAAAGTGCACTTACACAATACATGCTCTGTCATTTGAAACAACAGCAATCACAAGCTTTACAACCCTATGTGTTAACAATGTAACATTTTGATCTAGATTGGGTGAGTTAYGTGAGCTAGTTTTCCATTTAAATAATTTCTAAATCCTGAAATAAAAATTGGAAAAATTCAGAGCTATCTCAGAAGGCCAAATGGCCATCTGATATTCACATTAATGGATTTTTTTTTCGAAGATTATCTGYTGGAATTAGCTAACTGATGCTAACAACTGGTGACCCCGACGTGATAGGGGGAGTTCCTGACGTGATCGAGGGAGTTCACAACAACTACCTRAAATTTTCTCTTGGAAGTTTCACTAGAATGCTTCAGATGGATAGATAAGAAAGTTAGCAGTATTTCACATATACCTTTGAATGTATACTCAGTGCTTTTCCCCAATCTGTCAATTGAAATCCATTGTGAGGACAGGGCGAATAGGCCTGAGGGTAAACAGAGGTTAAAAAGGCAGATTAGAAGTAATGAAATTATCAGAATCTCATTATTGAGATTATTGAAAGTCAGAGAAATGTCACAGAGAAATGTCCTTAATTTACATTTCCCCAAATATTTTCATATTTTTGTGGARTATCATTGAAAGAAGGTGGAATTATTGTGAGTTATGTCATTGAGAAGAAAACATGGTCCTTTTTTAAAGACATTTCCTACAGTATTTGAGAGCTCTTCCTCTCTCTTCTTTTGTTGCTCTTCCTATTTCGTAGCAAGGTCATTTCTGTCACCACCATCCACGTGTCTGTCCTCAGGGTCTGTCTAAACATGATTTTCCCTGTGAGCAGGGCCCTGCCCTGGTGTCTTCTCCTCCCTGTTTATTCCCTCTTGTTCTCCTCCTGCTTTTCAATGTATTTTTCTTGATCCAACTCTCTCCTTGCATCAGTTTATGAAATTCCCTCAGTTTATCTCAGAAAAGAAGCAAAGTGTGTAGGCCCCCTCCAAAGTACTGCTGTTTGATTTTTTTTTTCTTGTTTTAATTATGTTTGAATTGTTTTATGTATTCGTAACATTTGACTTAGGCAGTATTTTGATATGTATTGATATGATTGATACGCTGGAGCAGGGGCTTGGACTAGATGATCTCCAGAGGTCCCTTCCAACCTCAACCATTCTGTGAATCTTCTGAGTACTCATGGGATTTCAGAATATTTTAAAAAATGGCCTGTCAAATCTGATAAAATGGACAAATCTCCTCAAAGAAAGCCTTCCATTAGTTTTTTACTCTGTCTATAAATCCGTTACTACACAGTGATGCTCTGCTCTTTGTCAAGAAAGACTTTCTGAACATTTTTGAACGCTTTTCAGAGTCTCACTCCAGGTTTGTAGGAGGGATGTAAATGGCAGGAGACCTATCCTGCAAATCCTGGCCTACTGTTTGTGCACTGGAGGCAATCAAGAAGTGTCCCCAGTGATGGCTCCACCAGTTCACGTTGCTGATGACCCTCTTGCTGCTAAAATAGAAGCACCCCCTGATTTAGAAGCCCTAGGCGGCCTCCTACGTCTTCGGTAATTACGCTGGCCACGTTATTGCCCCGTGCCTGGAAGCCATGTATAGAGCTAAGCTGACACCAGGTCGCTATAAATATTTTTCTATCCTTGCTCCTGTAGGTTAGAGGTTAAGTAGGTTCAAGCTAATCTTGATTTGTGACCCAGCTTCACACTTATTGGCAGTGAGGTTAAGCCCATTTTCCGACGGTGTGATGCCTTCAGCAAACTGTAATAAAGCCCGTGCACACTAGATGGCCCCAGGAGAACACCCTGTCACTAGAAATTGTAAATGAAAATTGGTATTTCCGAGGAGGAGAAAAGCAAAAAGGTTACTTCAAATCTCTTCTCATGAAATTACAGATTTAAACTGAGTTTTTCAAGTGGCTAAAAGCCACACATTTTACAGAGGAATCCAGAGAACTGGAAAGAATGACACAACACCCATATTTGATAATTAAGCCATAGTTATGAACTTAAAAACATATTTCTTTTCCTAGAGAAGGCCAAACACAGAGCTGGTTACAACTGTGCCGGGTTTATTTTGTACCATTGTCTGAGAATGGGGATAGGTAGCAAGGATTTATTTTAGGAAAAAGCCTTCTCAACTGTGTTGACTGAGAGTCAGAGGATTTCTTGCTCACCATGCACCACTGCAAACGGCTGTGGTCATGTTTTGGGGACTGATCATGAAACATGGCACTGTGAAATGCCAAAATACAGCTATGAAGGCTGGCCCTTACTGTGTTTTTCTGCTTTTAGGAATGCCATGAAAACATCGAAGCTTTAAAAAAAACAAAACATGTCACTGTGCTAACTACTTGTGTGTGCTTGAGAACAGAAGCACTTTTGGCTTCAGATACCTGTTGAGATTTCCTTTCAACATTACCATCCAAATGACACTGTCATCAGAACCTCCATGGCTAGAGAACAAATGCAGAGAGTGGTCCCAGAGGTGATTTTTAGCACTTTGGCACAAGCTACGAACCATATTACATGTCTTCTTAGGGTCTGGTCCCTGGCAGGATTTATTTCTGCGTCAAGGAAGATTACAGCTAATAGGATTTGCGCCTTGGAGGTTGTGGGCATGTTTGGTGCAAACCCTGCACAGTGCTTTCTTAAAGGAGAATATGGACCCTTTTTTTCACATTCTTCTTCTTCTGTCCTTTCTCAAGATAAACCCATCGCTATCGTCTTGCGTCACAGGATGCTCTTGTTCTGCAGACAGTTTTGGAAGGTAAGAAAGCTAGATATCGAATCCTAGCTCCCTAATCAATGAAGCCCCTTGGAAATTCCCCATGTAGCTTCTCTGCTCTTGTGAGAAGTGAAACCAAACAGATGGCTGCATAGTATGCTTCCTGCTTCCTCTAATACTTGTGTATTATAAGCTTGAGCAGATACTAAGATTCCTCAGATATGGAGTTGCATATTAACTAATTCTTATGTAATAATTGCATTCTTTGTAAGAAAATGGATGTAAAATCAAGCCAAAGGTTGTATTGGTTATGAATGACCCATATGTATCTTATTGAACTGTACAGAGTACTGGTTTGTTAGTCATGAATAACAGTGTGTGACTTGGTGAAATTTCTTGTTTCCTCTTCAGGAGTTTACTCTGCATGTCTGCGCTGCTGACCAAGATCCCTGAAGACATCCCTCAAGACATCAGAAAAATTAGGATAGAAAACTCCCACTTAACAGAACTGCCTCGTGGTTCATTTTCAAATGTGAGTGCCTTGGAGTACCTTTGGCTCAATTTTAACAACATCACGGTTATGCACCTGAAGAGCCTAGAAGACCTGCAGGCCTTGAAGGAGCTGCGGTTGCAGGGGAACAAATTAAGCTCAGTGCCATGGACAGCGTTTCAAGACACCCCGGCACTGAAAATACTGGATCTGAAGCACAATCGGCTGGATGTCCTTCCTGAACACGCGCTCCGGTTTCTACCCAACCTGACCTATTTAGATCTATCTTCAAATCAGCTTACTGTCATTTCCAGGGATGTCTTCTCCAGCTGGCCTGTCTACCAGAGGAGCCAGCGGGCAGAAGGGAGCATGGCCCATACTGCCAATGCCGTCCTCGCCCTTCACGGCAACCCGTGGATTTGTGACTGTCGCCTGAGGGGGTTTGTCCAGTTTATCAAATCCATTGGCCCACCTATTATTCTGATGAATTCTTATTTAACTTGTTCAAGCCCAAAGTTCAGGGAGGGGAAGTTTTTCCATGAAGTGGAGCTCAACAGCTGCATGAAGCCCCTCACCTCAGCCCTTGAGACCAACCTGACAGTCCCCGTGGGGCTGAATGTCACCTTGACCTGCTATGTGCAAGCCAGCCCTTCCCCAACCGTCTGGTGGACCTATGCGCACAAGCTTCTAAGAGCATTTAATGGTAAGCACAGACATTTATTTCATTTAGGTTTAGCTATTCAGAATAGGCGGCCTTCAAGGCAGCTGGGTCACCACGTGTGTGGTGAATGGCAGGTCTGAGTGTGACAGCATCCCAAACCAGGGTTACCTCACTGCCCTCCGGCCAGCTCAGTGCCTGGAGCAACTTGAGGAGCTCAGACCAAGGGAAAAAAGACCAGGGCTTCATTTTTATACAGCTGTGATGAGATTTTTGTTTTATTCATAGATTCATGGATGATACTTGATGGAAGAATTCTCAGATCACCTCAATCATATGTGTGTATGTGTGTGTGTGTGTGTGTGTGTGCGCACTATAATAAATACATAATTATGTATTTCTGTCTGTGTGTACATGGCTGTGTGTAAATGTGCAGTGCGTATGTGTGTATATGGCTGTAGTTATATCTTGCATAAATACAAATTATTATGTGCAAACATGTGCATGTGTACATCTATACATGTATATAGCAATAGAATATGTCCACATATACACAAAAACACAGAAATACATGCATACAGACCTATATAAACACACATACACATGCACATACACATATACACACCCACCCACAAAAAATACACATATATGTACACACACATATACACACACTCCTATGCACATGTACACACACCTATAATACACATACCTAAAAATATACACACCTTCTGTATACACACACATAAGTAATACACACACCTAAAGACATACACCCACAGCTACACACAAAAACCAGCATGCATACATATACACAAAGCACACACAAACACACACACGGAGACATATGCACATACACACCAATGGGCACATACACACGCATAATACACATATCCATACACAGATATTATCCAACACACACACACAGACACCTACATCTGCACACGAAAACACAGACACAAGCTCACACACACACACATCAATGCGTGCTCATGTCATGCAAAGACATATACACACACTCCTCTGCACACATACATATGATACACATACATAGAGACATACACATATATATTCATAGACATACACATGCACATCTTCACATACACACACACCCCTATACACTGATATCTACACACAAAAACACATGTACATATATATATACACATTGATTTATACACATAAAACCCACATGTATTCCCATACACCCACATCTATACAAAAAATCCAGACACATGCACATATATATTTAAATGCACAGATGAAATACACAGGCATACACGCGTGCACACAGTGACATAAATACACATATACTCTTACACAAACACATACACATAATACACACCTAAAAAACAGACACATACACACACATTAACACTTGCATATATACACATCCACTCAGAAGCATACACACGTACCTTTACACACATACAGATATACATACACACTCCTACCCACACATACACTACATGCATAAAAGCACATACACACACATCTACACACGTGCACATATACATTGACACACACATATGCACAAAATATACAGAAATGAACACCCATATAAAAACATACATACACACACAAGCACTCCTATGCACACATACATGCATATAATACACACAAAATCACAACTGCTCACATATGTTTACATACACAGTGTGTGTGCACAAAAATATAAACACAAATGCACACTCATACATACATGCTCACACAAGGGCACATACACACACACAATCTCCTACACACACGTACACACACACACACATATGATACACATACACAGAGATATACATATATGCGCACATATTCATATACATAAGCACACACACATATTCTCATATACACTGACATCTACACACAAAAACACATGCACACACATATGTACATACAAATGTACACACAAATGCACCCTCATACACACTACAAACGTGCACACATACACATAGATACACACATATTCATATTCATACATGTACACACATATACACACACCTATCTATCTCTGTCTATATAAAAAACCCAGGCACATGCACACGTATATACCCCCCCACACACAAAAAATACACATTAATACACATTCATATGCACACATGCACACACAGACACATATGCACACATACTACTACACACATAGTACACACACCTAAACCCACAGACATATGTAAACATATACACACGAAAAACAAACACATGCACACACATGCAGCATATACACATAAACAGTCCTACTCACACAGATGCACATATAAGGCACACACATTAAAACACAGACATATACATATACCCACAAAAACAAATACACACACAGCCACATCCAAATACACATGCATACACACACACAGAGGCATATATATATATATATATACATGCACACTCCTACGTGTGTTATATGCAGACATATAACACACATATAATGCACATTCACATATCCATACACAGACATACACCCCCTCATCTACACACAAAAACACAGATGCATGCACACATACAGACATACGCACACACACACGCTTATACACACATTCACATATGCTACACATATATGGAGGCATACACATATACACACAAACATATTCATACACGTATACAGCTATTCACATACATTTACACACAGACACACAAACATGCACATATACACCCACACATGTACCCATACACATGTGTATACACCCACATCTGTATAAAAAAAGACATATGCACACATACATTTAGATACACACCCACAAACATGCACATGAGCACACATTCATGCACACACCTACACACGTGCGCACACAGAGACATACACACACATACTGCTATATGCACATTATAATACACACCRACACATATACACACGCAAACACAAGTGCATGCACATACACATACGCACCCACAAACACCTGCTCATACACACTTGCACACACAGATACACTCCTACTCACAGTTACACTAGACATACATCTACACACAAAAACACATATGCACACATATATTTACACATACACATAAATACGCACAAACATGCACTCATACAAACACGTACAAGCACACACATAAACATACATGCTCACATACATGTACATATAAACACAAATGCACACACCCCATTACAAACTCTCCTATGCACATACACACAAACGTAATATACAGACATACATATATGCACACACATATTCATGCACACATGCACATATACATTGACATGTACACTCAAAACCACATACATATACACACACACATACACACACCATCATATGCACACAAGTATACACACACAACCCTACACATACACATATATTTATACACACACACACACACACACACACACACACTTTTCTATACAAAACCCACAAACATATGCACACAAACACACATACACACATGCATACACATACTGACACACTCCTACACACACACACACACACACACACACGCTCACGTGTATTTACACAACTGGGAACATGCACACATACATGAATATACACACAAGGACACACTCATACACGTATGCACACAAGTTGGCATAGACACACACACACACCTATGTACACATAAATAGACATATATGCACACAAATCCATATACATATGCACACACATATTTTCATACACACACAGATATACACCGACATCTACACACACAAAAAGAATGCACAAAAACATGCACACATACATAAAGATACAAATTCCTAACTCCCACATATGTAAATGCACAGACATAAACACACACATGTCCACACCCCCCACACATATACATATACACACACAAATATTACACATATGCCCACACATATACCTGCTCTCCTATGCATGCATACACATATCCACACACAGAAAGTCAAATATACATTTGCAGCTACACACAAAAACGTAGATACAAACACTCTCTCTCCTACACATACGCTACACATGCATGGAGACATATACATACACACACACACACATACACGCTGACATCTACACACAAAACTCACAAATACATGAACCCTTATACAAATGCACATATACATGCTTATATTCACCACAATCATGCACTTATGTACATATATATATATATATACACACACACACACACCCTCTACACATCCACATCTATATAAAAGGATACATGCACACGTACATATACACGCAACCCAAAAATATACACACAAGCACGCATCCTATACACACATGCCCTAAAAAAAAATCCCCCAAAGTCATAAACATACATACACAAACATAAATGCACAGACATAATACACACACAAATACATTCCCACACACTCCAAAAGGTATGCACATACATATACATAAATGAACACAAAAACACACACTCATACACACACACACCTGCAGACACCTACACTCCTAAGCACACATGCACATATATAATACACATATCCACACACACCTGCATCTCCACACAAAAACATAGATACAAACATCCATACAGATATACACACACACGTATGATACACATACATAGAGACATACACATATACACACTGAGTCATAGGCATACACAGACATACATTCATATACACCGACATCTACACACATACAAATACACAGAAGAGCATGCTCACACACACACAAATATGTACATATACACACAACCCTGCCTATTAAAAGACACATGCACACATTTACACACCCATAAACATGCACACATACCTATGCACAAATACACACAGAAATGCATACTGCTTATGCATGCACAGACACACACACAGAAATGCACACACACACACATATATATGTATATATAAAAAACACACAATATGCTTACACACACATTCACATATGCATGCACATACATACTGACATCTGTGTACAAACACTGACATCTGTGTACAAACACAGGCATGTGCACGCACACACAGAGGCATTTACACCCACTCACATACATATATACACCACAAATATACAGATATGCTCAGTTATGCACACTGCTGTGTGCACAGACACACTCACATAATACACACAAGAAGAACCACATTCACGTCTGCACACTTACTCACAAGCATGCATGCACATCCCCAAACACAGACATGCTCACACATTCACACACATAAAATCACAAATATGTGC